GCTCTGAAACGTCGGATTTTATTGTTTGTTTTTACCGTTTTATGAAATAATGACACTGTCCAAAATTGTCAAGCCATTACTCGGTGAAATTGGGAATTTACAGTAAGACACCAGTGTACAATGCACCTGTGTTCTATACATGCATGGTGTACAGCTGTATTTTTTTAAAGGGGCTGTGTCACGGTAGCCCAGTTCATTTTGTTTAAGTTTTGCCAATTACTAGGGGTGGCGAATGGTAAAATCCGAGACTGGCCGAGACGCTGAGATCCTAGTTAGAAATCCGAGCCCGAGACCCTTTAAAGTAAAAACAAACCATGAAAAAACAAAACCTCGAGACTTATCAATAAAAACGCTTCCGAGATTTCGAGATCCAGCCAAAATTTTCCGAGACCCACGTTTTTCGAGGTACCATTCGGCACCCCTAATTACTCGCCCTCAATCGCTATGGAACTTAAAGTAAGCAAAGAAATTACATAGAAATGACAAAATCAGATATTTGAGACAAACAAATATGTCTCCTGAGCATTATTTTTGAAGTTGCAAACAGCAGAGATCAACTTTGAAAAACTGTTAGGCTGAACAGTTTTCAAAAACCCTAATTTCAATCCATTTCAATCTTCTTCAGTTTTGCCCATCTGTGGCATCTGTTGTATCTGTTGTGCTTTTTAACCTTCCCTTAATGTTTTAAGCGGTTATTTTTACATTCCTCTTAATTAAACAGTCATTTTGTAATTACCTAATAATATTTGGCTAAATTTCGTGACACAGCTCCTTTAACTTAAATATTCCACTTGTTCGTCTGATAGTGTATCCTTATGGTTAGACTGAAATTTTACATCATCACTGTTTGATGTTACAGGTTGTAATATTCTACATCAGTTACCAGCAATTTAATCTTATACTTTGCTTTAGGATCATGGCCTATTGCTGCTTGTAATTCTCTGGAGCCAGGAACTTGCAAACTGATAATTCTTGAAACCTGCCGACATAACGTCCAGGAGTTCTTGTGCTTAGCACCAGAGGACTCGCTCAGTTCTCCACAGCAGCATTTTCCTGGCCAATTTGTTAAAGTTCAGTATGTTATTGCACTGTGCAATGAAGTCTCTCAAGAATTGATTGATTGCAGATTGGAGCCTCTTTATGCTATGTTTAGGATTGCACATGTGAGTACAATACATGTAACAAAAGTAATGGTCATACAGTCAAAGCTCTGTTAGCATTACTGTCATAATCAGACAGCTCTACTTACAGAAGCCCTCACAGTACCCTGTATTTTAACTCTCATTACAAACTCTGTATTATTGCATTCTCATAAGTGGACAATTCCTGTATGCAGCCACATATAGGAAACTTACATGGTTTAGAAGTAAGGTTTTAGGTTAATTTTTAAGCTCCTGTAAGAGGACAGCTTAAATGAAATCTTACTCACCTTTGAATTTTGTACTTTAATACTGATATTAGCTTGATATAGCTTTGTTGCATGATGACAATAAATTTCTGTCAGTTTCGGTCTTCTTGTCCGGTTACACTTCAAAGTACATATATCACTTGAATTTTATGCATGTGGCTAAAATAACACATTCATTTGTCAGATCAACAGTATAGCCAAATACTATAAGAAACTTTTTCTGCAAATTTCAATGTTTATTTGTAGTTCAGGACAAGCCCCTGTAAGCAATCATTTAACCCTTTGCAACCCAATGGCCAATATATCGGCCATAACAACAAACAGAAGATTTTGGCTCAGCGGATTCTCCATATTTGGTCCCCAGACCTCTCTAGGCTAAAAAATTCATCTGCCATCTTGGATACTTAGATGTGCGTAGTTTCAGACGATTTAAGGTTGCTTTAGTGAGATTTTTTTACTTTCTTCGACTGTCAATTTTCCCGGGAAATGTTAAAGGTCATTTTAATCATGGCAAGCGCTAAACGGAGCTACATTGTGCCAGAAATATTGGACTATTTGGACGATAAGTTCGATATCTACGACGATGGAGTGAATTCTGACATCGAATTAAGAAGATTTTGTTGAAGAAAATGATCTGCTCCCTAAAGTGGCCATCTCTGAAGATGAAGATGATGAAGATGTAGACCTCACCTCTCTTGATATCGAGGAAAACGGTGATCAGGATATGTTGTATATACCAGTTTTTTTGTACTTTACACCGGTCATTTTTTATCGCATGTCAACTTTTTGGTTTTGCTGGGTTGTGTGACATGTCACGTCGCATGACAGAATGCTACGTTCTAAGGGTTTGAAATTTTAAAAAGTAGCTAAATTTGGTATTAAATTGCTCAGTAGACATTTGGCTTCATTTTGGACTACAATCCTTAATTTTCCTCAAATACCACAGGGTTGTACAGGCATGGAAAGAACATTACTTTATATTTTTGTGACATTGCTTATCTGTTTTGACATATCATGACAGGTGTCAATCAACATCAAACATTTTTCTGAACACTACAATGTAAAGTCTAGCTATTATTAGTGATGTTTCTTTCAACATTTGGTAATCATAGCTTTAAATCTCAATATTTTACAGTTTTTAGTTATTTTAGCATTGTAAAACTTAAATGAGTTCCAAAATAAATTTGGGCTGCAGAGGGTTAACCCTTATCTCTGAAGTGGCCACTTAACTTGTGTTTCATAAGCAGCCAGCTCCACTAACAGACACCTTTTTCACGTCCCGAGGGCATCTGCTTACCAGTCCAGAGCTTCTACCCAACTACTGTATTAAGTTTGTTTCTGTCCAAATGCCGTAAATCCTCTATTAAGCCCCCCCTCTCAAATAAGCCTCCCCTTCCCTTCAGGGGAAGAAAGTTAATAAGCATTTGATTCTGATCCTCCACTGTATGACCTAAAACTTCTTGTACTTGAGCTTTTCCACTTTGTACTCTAGTTGTTTAAAGAGAAATGATACCATTGTCATTTAATTTCTAAATTACCTCTTATATTGCTGATGGCTTCTAACAAGGGTCTTTCCATGAGCAGCTACCCTTCAATAAGTAATAAATTACACTTTAGTAAAATCCAACGAGTGGTCTATTATCAATGCTGCATTCTGATTGTTTGAGCTACTACTAGGCTATATGTTATAGCTAACTAGTAGCAAAAAGCGCCAGCTTTGAAAACCAAAACAGTGGCGGCTGAATCACGTTTTGCTAGCTAAAGTTGTTTTGTCTCGATAATTTTGACCAATTAGTTGGATTCTACTAAAACAATTATTCCTCTCTCCCTCATGGCCTCTGAGTCAATAGCCCTTGAGGCCTTTGGCCTCATGGGCTATTGACTTAGAGCCCATTCAGGCTCGAGGAATAATTGTTAAGTATTATGGGCATTTTTTTTAATGTCCTTAGGGAGTGTCTAGTGACCTAACAACAGCTAGGGTCTTTAACTGTATACTGTTTTATGTTACTCCCTTGTTCATTACCATTTGGTATCACTGTTCCTACATATATTGTACATAATATTGTTCACTTTCTTGGGAGTCAAAGGTTGAGCGCTCATCTTAACTTACTGTATAAAGAATTAAACTGTCATGTGCAGCTGTATTGGTTTTGCATGATTGTACAGAATGAAAGACAGCGGGATGTGTTCATCATTGAAGCAGTTCGGACTACACCTCAGGATCTCCCTGTAGTGCAAACTTGTAAAGTGCGTTGTAGTGGAGAGGTACTTCCCTCGCTTGCCGGGACTTTCACGTTTCTTCTTCCTGCTGACATCCCAGGAACCTTCCACATTAACTTCAAGTTCAAATCACTAGGCCAGATTGGCAATTATGCTTTTGATGAAGTGTTGGTTGATGAAATTAAAACCTATGTGGTGACCCATTATCAACATAAGAACTTGTCTGCTTACTGTGATAGCCACTTTGTGCCTGCATCGAGGTCCCCGTGGCTAAGAATCAACTTGTGGGTGAGTGTTTTCATGAAAAAAAAATATTGTACTGTTAGTAGCATGTACATGCGTAGTATAAGTCCCATCAGGAAATAAAATTAAGAGTATTAAGAATCATAAATACATTAAAAAATGGACCCACTGTACAACTGTCATTTATACAACTTATACAATCTATTCTGTACTGAGTACATGTATGTGTCAATGGCCAAGGATCAATCAAATAAAGGAGAAGTTCAAGAATTTCAGTTTCTTTCCACTGCACGATAACAGCCCTGTAAATGGCAAAATGTCATCCAGTTTGTGCAGCACAATATTCTTCAACTTTTATGTACACTGTACTTCATACTTGTTTGGTGGAATACACTGTACAGTACATACAGTGTACATGGTGTATGTAGTAATAATTAATTATAACAATACCCTTTAAGTTACAATATTCATATACAAATTCTCCAGTTCTCCATGCATGTACATTTTCTTTAAGAATAGAGAGACTGTGGTATTAAGAAGATCAATAGATGGAACAGTAGAATGGTTTAGGTCATATCTTACGGGCAGGAATAATATGTTTGTGTAAATGGGTGATTCCAGAAAATATCCATACCCTACCACGGGTGGCATGAGTATTTTAACCCCCCCTTGCCCTCGGAAATTCCAAAATGCTTATCCCCCCCCTTGCCCTCCGAATTCCAAAATCGCTAACCCCCCCTCTCCTCCGGAATTTTCCACTTTTGTTTCAGACCCTTTGGAATTTCTGTTCGTCTGTCTAAATCTTCAAACGAACGAGAAACTTGCACTTTTTCCCTCTGCAAAAGAATTCTGTTCACAATTTTTAGTCAGACGATCGAGCAACTCAAGTTTGTTAATGAATGAAAAGTAACTATTATAATTTTTTGAGGTAAACCTCTCCCCGACTCTTCCAGTTCTATTGGCAAATATACGTCCGTTTAAGGATATCAGCTCCTGGAATAAATAGTTATTTCGAGGAAAAATAACTATTTAGAACTGAATGATCAAAACACTTGCGCATAAACAGTTTTGAATTAAACAGCGCATCAAAAGGCACGCTGTCGGATTTTACTACCTACATGTTGGCGTGAAAATCGGCGTGAAATACAAAATTTGTCAGGCGTTCTATTTGGAAACGAGAGACTGGTGCGAGTTTTCAGCACGCAACAACACATCGTCGATCGACAATCGGCGAGAAACACCGACTTGGTTATATTTTTATTAATCAGTTGACTAATTCATCAACTTTAAGGCCTCTTCGATGTGGAGCTTGCTGCAAAAACCCATCTGCTTAACCATCTGCATGAACGCATACTTCTTTCGTGGTCGGTTCGTGCTTCATTTACAAACTGGGAATGTTAACAGGTCAGCGATTTCAAGCGGAGCTTTAGCCGTCTTTCCTCTGGAAATTCACTGAATTCAGAGCTGAAACACCCCCCTCCCCCATGCCTTTGGAATTTCAAACTCTGTTACCCCCACGTCTTCGGAATTCCAGTCCAAGAAACCCCCCCTCTCCCTCGGAATTCCAAGATGCCGCCCGTGGTATGGTATGGATATTTTCTGGAATCACCCAATGGGTGTTGCTCCTCCAGTCAACAACCACTACAGGGAGTTCCTCAAGGATCTCTCCTGGAGCCTACTCTTTTCCTTAATTTTGTAAATGGCATACCTTTGAGTCTGCGTGACGCTACATGACTCTAGTAATATGGTTTTTGTTTAAATGTTTGTTTGTTTTCTTTTTACACAGGAAAGCCTTTTGTTGTACCAAATGGGAAATCTTGAAGGGTGTAAGCAATTGAGCGAAGAATTGTGTAACCAAGCAGTAAAGTTCAATTCACCCAACTACAATGTCATTGCTGGAAAGGCCAAAAGTGTTTTGTCCGGTGCTTACAAACAGGAAAGGAGGTTTACGAAGGCTGAAGAAGTCTTGGAGTCCTCTACGGAGGTTGGCAACTGAACACTTCTATCACACCATGTAAGGAAATCCAAGATATTCTTGGATTCTGGATTGCATTCTGCTGGTTCTGGATTCCAGGCTCTGTATTCCAGTCTTTGTCAGTGGAACTTGGATTCTGGATTCCAATGTTTAGTGCCCGTGGGATTCCAGATTCCTTGAGCTGTGTTCCAGATTCCAACACCAAAAATTCCAAATTCCACAAGCAAAATTTTCCCGGTTACACGGGATCTGGATTCTATTACATGGGGCGACTTCCAAGTAACATTATGAATGGTTACTCCGTTGAAAAGTAACGATCTGAAAATTGATTTGAAAATGTGTTGTTTTGCAGCTGTTAGAGGGAGTTGTTCCCGGAGAAGAGACTGCTATTAACCGCACTTGTGTTGCTGCCCTGTTCTCTGAGAAAGCTGCTGTTGTGGGAATCACCAAATTGGAAACCAAGAGAATGAAGAAAGCCATGAAAGCTGCTCTTATCCATTATGGGCACCAACTTGATCGAGGTCTGAACACGAATGCGCGTGGTCCAAGGCGATCATTAATCAGATAAATTTTCTATTACCTTCATTCTACTAGAGAAAAGGCCACTAATCTGCGATCCCAGTATCTGATAAAGTCATGTCAGTGGTGGAAACCTTCATTCGAAATTTCAGCAGAGATTTTCTTAATGACTGCCCCTAGGCAAAAAATATTGCCGCGCGATAAAAGGTAAACAAACAAGCACTTGTCTTGAAATTCGCTTCTGTGACTTCCGCTGAAGTGCAGTTGACGTTCTCGTCTGAAAATGGCCTCGAATGACCGTAATAGTCTTAGAAAAACCTTGGGTATTAAAATCATGACTTTTCTCCCAGCATTAGAAACGTTAAGTCGCCATTGCATGAAGTAACAAGAACGCGCTTACAGCGACATACACGTCTCGCCTGCTTTCGAGAGACATGGCTAAGAGTGGTAACCAAGGCCATTCCTCCTATCACTACCTTGATCTTTAAACTTGTCTTAGCTCGTCAAGATATCTTTCCAGTATTTCATATCGCGGTTCTTGGAAAGGCTGGTTTCCCGCCATTCTTCCCACGGGAACTTCAAAAGACATCCGTCCGCTCAAAAAACACCGCTGCCTCAGTCGATCACGTGATCGACTGGAAAGATTTTAGTGGCTCATGAGTCACTAAAATTTTCCCTCAGCCGAAGTTCCCGCGCAATTCTGAATGCATTGGTTACAACTCTGATCCCTATTAAGTAAAAATAGCATTCATTGGCACATATAAACAACCAAAATCAGTTGTTAGAGGTAAGAGACAGTCAAGGAACATGAAAAAATCTGCTTCAATCCTGATCGAGTCTTTAATACAGTGTACATTGTAGTTACAGTGCGACTTCAATACAAAGAAACCCTTAATTTTTAGGGAAGTAAGCTGTACACGGTATACAAACAGTATTCTCCAGCCTGATCAAAGTTAAAACAAACATGTATGGAACAGAACTGCGGTATAACGAAAACCTTAGTATCTTGAATTGATTGATTAAAAAAAAACATAACAGCATAAAGAACAAAACAATTTCACTTGTCTTTGTTCCACTGCCGGCAAGAGGGATGCAAAAAGTCCAGTTAACAGATTCTACAGTAAAAACTCGCAACCAAGAACCTACATTTTTAGGAGTTAGCCTGAACAGGTTCTTATATAAATGGTAGTTGACAGAATTTTAGGCTATTTAGGTCTTAACCTGTTTTAAATTTCTTAGGGTAAATAGGTTCTTGTTTTTTTATAGAGGGTATAAATGACCAATATTAGGTTTTTAGTTGCGGGTTTTTACTGTATTCACTTTTTACGTAGATTGTAACAATTAACGTAATAGTAGTGGCTCACCTTGTTCATAGTCTCCTTTTCGGGCGTGCAAGTCTCCCAGGGCATTGTAGAACAGTGCTTTGTCTCTCATGGGGAGTTTGTCGTCCGTTCACCGGAAGTTGGCCTGAGTATCATTAGTTTAAGGCACCCGTCAGGGCTCCTTGTTTGAAATTTTGGTCGCCAAAGGGCTAATCGTAGACGCCTCTTTACTTAGTACCAAGGTCTCATTGTTACGTTTCGGGTCACTTGGACCAAGCGAAGATGTGATACGTTACCGAAGTGAATTGGCTGAGAGAGACTGGGAAAACGCCGTACAGGGACAAGACAAGGCGCCTCTCGTGACCCAGCGCCCATTAGGCAGCAGCCTTGAGTTGTGACTATAGTAGTGATGCATTAATATAATAAATAGAGTTGTTGTAGTAGTGAATTAAAGGATTAGAAAATTACTGAGGAAACAGACGGCAGCTATGTGGAAATTAACAAGACGAAAATGGAAACAAGGGGGAAAAGAGTGTAGCTCAAAGGAGAAAATTCATTTAAAACTAAGTGCTAAAGAAATGTTCAAATATCTTGGGCTCCTTTTCTCAAAAACGAACGCTCTTCAATTCCAGAACTGGGCCACCGCCGATGTTGTCGGAACACCCTCACAAGCCCAACACGGTGACAGCTTGGCAATCAGAGGAAAAGAACTAATAATTTGATCGTAAACAACAGCAAACAAAGACAATTACAAACAAAAGAAGCTAAACATTTCCCAAATAGCGAAAATTAAAACCCGCGAAATTAAGAGAGAATAAGGGTAACTAACGTATGCACACTGCACCTCATGAACCAAAACTCAGAATCTCTGCTTACGTCAAACACGAGCTCACCCCCGGGGGGAGAGGTACTCCCGCGAATTTTGGATAGGGGTGTACCGCGAAGGTTCTTGAACCCTAACCCTGTTTGAGGACTAAGAAAGCGAAAACTGATACCCTTTTTAAGGCCCAAAGCCGAAAAATGACACCCTATTCAAGGAAAAAACAAAATTATTAATAGTATGAAAAGGAAAACTTTATTTCTTCTCTGTAACATTGGATGTATAGCATCAAGCATAAAATACTAGAATAAGCCTAGTTTAATAATATGCAATCATAACCGGCGGGCGTTTAATTGTATTAGATAATACAATTAAGCTGCCCTATCTAAGGACTACACCGGGGACACAGAAACAAAAGGGTAAAAAAAGATACCCTATTTAAGGACCAAGACCCTCAAAAGCTATACCCTATTCCGCGGCACGTACCTATATAGCCCATATATGGGAGTACCGCCCCCGGGGGCTCACCTGACAGTCTTTCTCTACCTGTTTACAGTTGATCTGTTTTTCTTTTTCTTTCATGTTTAACTTTTGCACGATAACTGTCTCGAGCCAAACTGCTGCCAATTTTCCAGCTATACTACTACGTCTTCATCGCCTGCTTAGGAAGCTTACTACTGTTACACTGACGTGGATAATTTTGGGCGGGAACAGGTTACTACACTTGCCTTCTCGGTTAAATGCGCCTCCCTCATCTGTGATTACAGCTGGTGAGTTCCGAAAAAACAAAAAACTAATTATCTAAGTTGGTGTGTGCAAGGACGGTACATAGTCATTCAACCTGTTTAAACGCTGAATAACAATTTAAATTAAAAAAGAACTAAAGGAAAAAAAAAAAGCTTTGTTTAATTTTCACCATGAACTTTAAGGTGAACTGACCCACCTCTCTCTTTTCATCACAGTAACGTATTTTCCACACTGTAAAAACCCTTAGCAGCTCACTTGTTTCTGTCTATAACAACACATTCGGCCAATCAGTTATCAAAAAATGTAATTTAGAAATTCATGAATATGTATTCAAAAACATAAACAAAGCACAACTAGCCTGTGAACAGGCCTTTAGTCGAGCGGGGAACTAGGGAGAGGGTTCCACTGTGCCCGAGAACACTGACTGTTGACAGGTCTGATTGACATCAGCTTTTCGGTCGACACGTAGCACGCAATTTGATCACAAAGTGGCAAGAACAAAACACTCCAAAGACTGTAAAGTTTGTTCAAAAGCTATTTACGCGCTCCAGACTCACACTATCTTTAGAGAAACACTAAGCTGGAGTTTACCGAGTCACAATGCAATTCTCCATAGTTGATGTAGCTTCGGTTTAAGCTGCACTTGAATCTTACAACTTTAGACTACGAGTAGTCCCCCATTTTTCCTCAGGGATAGTAGAGCGTGCGAAACGCGAGCGCGCGTGAAAATCACCCCACGCGAGAAAAGGCGACACGCGGCGGGGAGAGAGAAAAATGAGGGACTACAGACAAAGCCTAAGCTTTTGAACTAATGCGTTGCTCTCACAACGCAAAACTCTGATTGGCTCTTCCATGGAAATCTCTCAACATCTGTCAAAAACGCGCCAGCCGCTATCAACACTCGACATAATCACAATTTACAGAACAAATAACTAGAGCAGCTCAGAGCAGAACAAATAACAGAACAGAACAATTCTCGGTTTTCACATGACGTCATCAAAATTCAAACTAAGAAACTATCGATTCTTCTGAGATTCTGAGTTTCATGAGGTATTACAGCACCTAAACACCTTTATTTAAACAGAGGTTTGGTTCGAAAGGGTTCTTCGTTTTGCGATAGAGGACGTTTGAATTTCTAGGCTTTTGCGTGACGCGGCATTTAGCTGGCGGCCGGGACTGCTCTTCTGTGGGTTAAAAACATTACCAGTTTTGGGAGATTTTGCTATCTAAACATTCCTTCTGTCAGAATAAATATCACTTTAATAGTTTATGAGTTTTTTAAGCGATGAATTAACGCATTAGTAGGAAAACTCAAAAACAGATGTTTCTGTTGGTTTCCGGCGGCCATATTTGTGCCCCTCAAAGGGACACAAACATGGCGCCTCCATACAAAGCCTTATAAATTTGGGTAAAACGTTTTTCCTAATATCTCGCATATGAAATATCGCACAGACCTGATTCTTGGCAAGGTCTTTTGCTTATTTATCTTCTTTTATTTCCAAGATTCGGGACTTTCTGTATCGAATGGTTTGCAATTTTATTTTTGATTGCGTGACAGTGAAAACCGAGAATTAACTAGAGTTGCTCTTGTAGAAGCAACTAAGCAGAAAGCCAACCCGGCAACTGATGAGGTTCGCGTGGGGAACCGAAACCATGGTCTTGCCTGATCACAAAGTGGGGATAACAGAACAGTCGCAAGGCTGTTAAGCTAATTCAAAAGTTATCACCAAGGGAGGAACTACTAGCCTGCGAACCGCAGACGCATTTCCGGTCGTCGCTTCTCTCCCTCCGAAAAGGAGGGAGAGAAGCGACGACCGGAAATGCGTCTGCGGTTCGCAGGCTAAGGAACTACGTGCTCCAGTCCAAAGACTCACATCATCTCCAGAAAAACAAGCGGCAGTTAAAATTCGTGAGCAGTCATGACTGAGTCACATCGCAACTCTCCATAGTTAATGTAGTTTTGAGCTGCAATCCATTCTTCGAGATTTGGATATCACTATATCCGTCCTGCTAAAAACGCTAACGAGCTGGGCCCAGCGTGACAGAACAGTGCAGGACACCGTCACATTCACGGCCAAAAAGCATTTCACCTCCTGCCACCCTCCGGGTGTAAAACGATACAAGTATAGTCATAAAGAAAACAGACATCTTACATGGGTGGCGTGACGAGTCTTAACCTGTGACGTGTACAGACGCCTCGGGGGGCGTCTGTATGTGATTTACTGTTGGAGAAAAATTACCAAAGTAAAGGCGGGGAAATGGCTGTCGACTTGCAATTGATTCGTTTTTCAGATGATCACACATTGGAATCTGCCTCTCAAGTGATGTCAGCCTTACAGTTTGATCGGCGTATACCGAATGGGCGACAGTCGTACACGAAACTGTTAAAAGACCTCGGATTCCGCAATCAAAATGGCGTCGCTCACAACCAGTACGTTTTTCAAGGGCAGTGCATGATACTAGGCGACACTAGAGTCGGCAAAACTAGCTTAAAAAATTCTCTTATGGGAAGACCGTTCAATACTGAAGAACCGCGAACAAAAGGAGTGGATATTAGCCTGGTTGACCATAAGTGGAAAAACTTAGATTCCGATAAAGGCCTCACATTTGGAAGTTTTTATCGATTTGGGCAAACTTCTGTTTGTGCGGGTGCATTGTATGGACCTGGTGAAATCGAATACACTTTTAATCAAGAAGTAACAAATGTCGCGTCGTTTTTGTACATTCTAATGCGAATAACTTGGGTTATTTCACTTGTGTGGCATTTGGGCTTTTCAATATCGTCTTTCGATAGCCTCTGTTTATTACGTATCGCTTTAAATTTGATTCCAGACTTTTTCTTTGCCATTGTCCTGCACTTCCAAACTTCTCAACATCCTGGGGGTAGTAAAGTTGCTGTACTGTTTGCCATCCTTCCACGCTTTATGGCAGGCTTGGGCGCCACATTCATCTTTCTTGGGATTCTCCGAGGCAGAGATTGCAGCAATCCTAAGCATTCTTTTCCAACACTATTCAGTGCGAGTCTCAGTCAGTTCGTCTGGGTGGTAATGATGTGTAATCGTATTTCAGTAATCGTGCTGTCTTTTATGGACACATATTTTCAAATGTTCAGCCCTTGGTCAGAAGCGAACAATTCATCATCTTTGCCAGGGCAAGTGGTACTCAACATAAAGTCAGTGCCTTTTTTTCGACGAATGTTTTTCCTCCTATTACCAGTATCTTTAGGTACTTCTTTCGCTGCATTTCTCATAGAATCAAAGAAGATGTCTACCCTGGAGTATTGTCAAACTCTTCATTTCATTATGATTCCTGTTCTTTTAGTGTTTGCGCTGAAACTTACAAGAATCCTTTGTATTTGGGTCAGTTACGATAAGTGGACCAGCCTCATTTTGTTTGTGTTCATGACGACTCAAAAATCAGCTGTAAACTTAAATTTGTTTGATCTGTATGCAGCAATGATGGCTGCCTGGGCCTGTCGCACTTTGTACGTAGATTGGGATAACATGTTATTTCCTTTGAACAAGCCCTGGGCAAGACAGGCTAGTTTGACTTGCATTTTTGTAGAAAAAGTAGCGTTAAATTTTCAAAGGTTAAAAAGTGCCCTTTGTGGCAAGTTTTCAAGCCTTAAATTGAAACTCGTGGACTTCTCAGGTGATAAAGAGTACTATGCTTATCATCATGTCTTCATGAGAGATCATGCCATCTATTTTGTTGTTTTCAATCTGGCAAACTTTGCAGATAACAACTTTGCAAACACTGAAGCAAAAATCCAAAGAATAAAGTTCTGGTTGGAGTCAATCTGTTGCAAGGTTGCATCCAAGACACCAATATTTCTTGTGGGAACACACAGAGGACAAATTGACAAAACCTCCCTAAAGACTGTGGACAAACATCTGCAACAACATTTAATGCAATCTTTCAGTAGAGAACTAGTGAAGAACAAGGAAGATAATTTTTGGTATTTTCCCATAGAAAACACTCTGGGGAGGAAAGACAAAGGGGTTCAAAACCTTCAAAAGCAAATAATGTCTACAGTTCAAGAACAAAAGACAGTCATAGGCAGGAAAATTCCATACTCATGGATCAAAATTCAAGATGAGATTATTCACCTACGACACAAAAAGAAAAAAAAGTTTTTAGTGTCACTAAAGGAGTTTTCAGTTTCGTTTGATGACTTCATTTGCAGCAACTGGACCAAGGAAACTTTACAGTACTTTCATGAGAAGGGACTTGTAATTTATTGCAATGATAGGGAAGACTCTGAATTGTCAAAGTGTGTTTTGCTCAACCCTGCCATTCTGGTAGACATTATCATTCAGTTGATTACTTCATGTAGTGATAAGGAAGTGATTTCACAGCCTGGCTTTTGTGATGACTTGAGAGTACTTCGTGAAACTGGAATGCTCACAGATACTCTGCTCAATAACATTCTGTCCACAGTGGCAGAGGATAGAAAAGCACTCAAAGGTTTCTTGGAGGAATATGACATCATTTGCCCTCTACACTTTAACTTGACAAACAAGGAAGAAGCACAAGTGACTCACTTTGTTCCTTCACTATTGCCAATGGCTGAGACAGTGAAAACACCAGTGTGGATTGAAGGTCCTGATGACAAGAAGTGCTATGTTGCCTTTCATCGATTTCTGCCGGAGCCCCTCTTCCCCTCTCTTTTGTCACAGGCACACCGTCTTAGTAAAGCAGAATTTCCTCAGGGTCAGCCACTTATATGCAAAGATGTTGGCATGTTTTGGGTGAGACCCAGCCAACCATACAGACTTTTACAGCTTAAGGATGAAGATATGATTGAAGTTACATTTACTGACAGGTTTGTTTCTAATGGAAAGTAATATTTAGTAGCGAAAGCAGTTTTCTGCACCCTTAATGTACATGTACATGCACTGTAGGCTCGATTTCTGTGGCTTTCTTTGGTCTGATTAACTTCGTCCCCTAGAAGAGACTTGATGAGGGAGGAGTGTGGATTCATTTCCTGAACTGCTGCTGGTAATCCAGCCTAAATGTACTGTGATATGAACAGTGATAATCTACAGCATGTTCAACAAAACCATCCCAAATTCATTAAACAAACAGTAAATGGTCTTAAAAACAGGCAGCAGAAAGTTTTGAAACTGTACGTGGACAAGCTAGCTTAATACTGACAGCCACCAGCAATATTTGTGGCTGTACTGTTGAGCGATTATTGATAAAACCTCAGTGGAGACAAGAACTCTGCCATTTTTTGCTCTATACACATTATTATTTCTATACATGAGATCTCAGTGCTAATTGAACTAAACAGAAAGAGCAAAATCAAATCAGCTCTACTGTATTCGGTAAACAGCTTAGTACTAAAGAGCTTTTACTACTTTTTTTACTACAGCAGCTTCCGTAGTTCAATTTACATGAACTGCATTTAAGTTATTAACTAACCACCTTTTCATGAATTTCAATTAACAGCGAAGGTCAAGGCATGACACCCTCACAAGTATTGGTCTACATATTCAGCATTGTCAGCGGGATCTGCAAGCGACACTTTCCTTATGTCAAGTTTCACTGTGGTCCATTGTGCCTCTCCAACAGGTGCCCTGGATACCAAGGGGATTCTATATCTCACCCTGGGCTGCAGCAAGTGTATTCTCGGCGTCATGTGTATAACGTGTTGCCTGCACGCCAAGAAAATACTATTTCTTCATTTTACTGTGCAAACCAGAACTTTGAAGAACAAATGAAGGAATGGGTAGTGCACTAGATAGGGGTCATTATTTTGGTGCAGTTGTAATAGTCCTTTAAATATATCTTTTTTGAGTTTATGAAACTGCAGGTAATAGTAATGACGATTTGGGTCAGTTATGTGACGATGGCACTTCAAGATGCATTGTTTTCAGTAGTGAGAAACAGTCCCCTGTTGGCAATGATACAACAGTACATTATAACATTGAAGTGATTCAAGACAACAACAGAATGTACTTTGTCTAATTGTACAATTTATGTAACTAGGCCTGGTATCAAGGTCTTACCGTGTTTCTTTCAATATAGCCATCCCTTGATTAATTGCCTCCCTTGAATAATTGACCCCCTTTGATGGATACTTTTAAAATAAAAACACCCACCATGGATAATTGCCCCCCCCCCCAACCCCACCCATGTAGGTTACCCCATAGGGATACCCATAGCAGTAATTAAACCTGGAGAATGAATCTAAAGTGGAGTCTGATCCAACAAAGCTGATCAGTGACGACTCAAGCTCTGAGGAAATATAGTACTATAGATTACAGTGTAGCTTGTGATCAAAAGCAATCCTGCTGAAAGACTTTATTCACAATTTCATGAAAAGCATTGAGTTTAAATTGAAGATCCCCAAACGTATCTCATAGGGAAATGGGGGGGCTGTCTCTCCAATTAATATTAAATGTAATGGACACTTTGAAAATCTTCAAGAAAACATGAGGACAAAACAAAACTTGAAAAGTAAAGGTACTGTTGATCTACATTACAACTGATGTTTGTGCCTAAAATGAGGTGCAACAGTGCAAAATGGTCTCAGAAGTTTCAGGGTTGTCAAAAAGTTTTCTGTTTTAATAAATAATTATGTGTCCAATGTCATTCAAAACTGGGAAAAATTGTTACTTACTGTTTGTTAGATCCTGTGGTAGAAGGAGATGAAAGAAGCCAGATAAAGATGGCTGACTAGCCGCCGGTTTTGGCCAGCTACCAGCCCTTATTGACAGTCCTGAACTTAGAAGCTCTTTTTGTGTTTTAAAAATTGTACAGTACCTTTTCTTCTCCTGCATCATCTTACACTGAGCAAATTCAGCCTGAGTTTTAAAAGAACACTACCTACCAGTGAATGATCTATCATAATATTATGTAATTTCCAGTGCACTTGCTTCACACAATGTAACCACTGGTAAATCAGCTTTCAAGGATAAGTGGGGGGTTATTAAAGTATTTGTAAGTGGGCCATTTCACATGAGAACAGAAAAATAAAGACCATTTTTGAAATAATATTCTAGGACTTTAAGTGCATAGCAAAAATACACAAGGACTTAAGTTTCAGAAAACATCAGGACTGAGTGCAGATTCCTGTTTGCAATACTGAGGGGGGGGGGGGGGGGGTCCAAAGTACCGTGTTTATTTGATTGAACACCATGGCGTTTATTATACATTTTGAGTCTTTTGGGTGCAGTGTTTATTCAAGGGAAACGTTTTTTTTTGGAAGGGCAGTGTCAAATTGCGTAAAAATAGTAAGCAAATACTCATAAAAGACTCATTATTTAGGTAATACACTGTCGCATACCCTATTTCCTAAAGGTAACACTACTTAGTACTTCTATTTTATAATTATTTCAGCACTACAGTATATATGTTGTGGTTCAATTTTATCCTTGGTTTAAAGTTTATTTCCCTTTATTTTAAACACATTATCAAACAAATGTACATTACCATACCCCAAAACAAAGGGAAATAAAATTTAAAATGTGGTAAATGTAATTTAGGCAAAGTTAACCTCGAAGCAATGGTGGTCAGCAGTTTTCCCAGCTATGCTGGGGGTGGCCCAATGCCTCTAGCAGGGGCAGTTGCTTGCTTGCAGTTATTCGCAAAGTGTTGTCGCAATAGCTTGTTGCTTGCTTACCATTTTGTGCTGTCTTTTTCCCATCCCTCTCTTCCTCTTTAGGTCAGGGCCAGTGTTGGTTGGCAAGTATTCCACTGATTTGTTCAGTGTGACAGTACCTGGTGGGGGCTGCCCAAAGGGTTTCCACGGATACCTCCTCCTCATGCTAAAGCATTGCCCTGCTCCACCAACTTTGTAGGCACCAGCGCCCAAGCTCATCTATTGGTGATGAGTTTACACCAAGGATAAAATTGAATCACAACACATAATTATGTTAATTTGCCCTTCATGACTATTTGCCTCCACCTGCACTTGCAGAATTCATTAAGGGCATTATCATAAAGACAAAAGGATTACAAAATTTGATGCCAGTTTGGAATAAGGTGTATGAATGCACCACTCTTTCAACCATAATTCAAACAACTGAGTATAATAATAAGATCAAAATAAAAGTGACATTAAAAATGAATGTCTTGTTCATTTAAGTTCTCTTAAAAACTTTATCAAAAACCAAAGCATTTTTAATTTTACATTATTTTAAAGAAACGGGTAGCTGCCAAAACTGTTGAAGTGGACGTTATGTAACATCCATAAAGTTAAAAGAAATTTTAATGCAGAGCGAATTGAAGCCTTTTTTGAAACGCCACGAAACAAATTTGCAGAGTACCGCATTTACAGTAACCTGCTTACATTGTATGTTGAATGGTTTATGATCCAGACCAGAAGCATGCTTCTGACCAGACCCATATTAGAAGGATTTATAGGGAGTCATCTGAGCATAATGGTGCTTGAATGTACATCTAATCCTGCTAATTTTCACTGACACTTGCTCTCTATGAATATGACAACAAATCCCAAAATACCCCACATTCATAGTTTTGTGACAGCATTACTTCTCTTGTCTATATACATGTAATTAGTGAGATACAATCATTATGTTTACAAACACATGTGCAGTCATGTACATACATACTTTGTTCACACCAAATGACCAGGGGTCATTGAACTAAATTCTTTGAAAAAACATGAGTCATAATTCGTGAGTTTTAAATTTCACAATTTGAAAGAAAGGTAGAAGTGGAGTGTATAAAAATGCTCAGCAAAGGAGAAAAAGGGGGGAGGCCGGGGCGTGAAAAAAAACAGGGTAGGACAGAAAGATAAAAGTAGAGACTGTTGTGTTACAGTATTAGCCCAAAACTACTTCAAAATTTTGCTTTCTGTGCATGCCAATTTTATGCCCCAAAACTTCAGGAAATCATATTTTGCATCTGGAACAGAAGGCCAGAAAGTGATCGACTTAAAAAAAACAGTGGGGAGTTTAGGTTTTTTATAGCCAGACAGTGGCCAGAAAACGGCTGGGATAGCTTTAAAGGGGCCTCTGTCTATAAAATTCCCAGGAGGCAAAAGGGTTACACATAGAAATTTACCTTTAAATGTGTAATAACCATTTGAAACTTAATCAGGACAAGACTAAACTTGTTGTCATTAGCTCTGAATTTCGTCATAGATCGAATCTTAAATATGTTCGGGTTGAAGATTACTTCATTGCTTCTCAGTCATCTGCTTTTAACCTAGGATTCATCATGGAAAATTGCCTGAGTATGGAGCAACGTGAAAAAGATACGTAAATTACCACCTCATGCAGGAACATAGCAAAGATTTACAAATATCTCACGTAAGACTCTGCTGAAATTCTTCATTGGTTCTTAGTCCAATAGAGAACAATATGTATGTATAAATGCCCATGCATCTGATTCTCTCTCAATCACTTGTGGAGTACCTCATGATCAGGTATCCATTCTTGGACCCCTGTTGTTTTTGCTATATATTAATGATTTACCAAACACCTCGAAACTGCTTAGTTTTCACTTATTTGCTGATAACACTAATATATAATGTTCATGTAAAAACCTTAATGATCTTGAACTAATCCTAAATCAAGAGCTCCATGCAGTGGCTGAGTGGGTGAAATCTTATAGACTAGCTCTCAGTATTTAAATAATTTTGTTCTTTTTCATTCTAAGAGACTTAAACCATACAAGTCATTAAATTCAAAAATTGATGGTGTGAACATCCAAGAAGTTTCCACGCTCAATTAATACTTAGGTGTCACTTTTGACTCAAACTTGACTTGGAAAAATCTTGTTAATGAACTCTGCTTAAAACTATCGAAAACTGTGGGCATATTTTCCAAATTAAGGTACTATGTTTATGTTGATATGCTTATGCTTTACTATTCCCTAATTTACCCCTTTCTTACTTATGGTATTCAAGTTTGAGGTCTGTCACATACCCAACCTACCTAAAACCTGGAGAGTGAGTAACTACTTTGCAAAAACGAGTCATCAGAATATTGACTTTTTCCGACCCTAGATCTGACATTCTGAGCCATTGCTGAAGTCTCTCAGACTCGTAAAATTCTCTGATATAATTCATCTTGAAATTCTCTCTTTTGTTTATTAGTGGTACCATAAACTAAGCCCTTCTGGTCAGTTTTGTTAATTATTTTAACCCAGGATCTTCAATTCATTCATATAATACACTTCTCAAACTCATTAATAATTCATAAAGAAAATACAAAGAAAATTAATGTTTAATGAGTGTTTGGAAATCGGATGAAAAACTGCTCAGTATTTGCATCCTTAATTTCTCCTTCAAAAATGATTTTGTTTGAGAAGAAATATCAAACATTCGACACAGTGTTTCATCACCAGATGAAACACCTCGAAGTTCGTCAAAAATACTCCGCTGCGCGTCGTATTTTCAACTCTCTTCTCGGTGTTTCATCTGGTGATGAAACACTGCGTCTCATGTTTGATATATTACGTCAATCACAGATTGATAATCTGTTTGTTAAATCTGTTCATACCACTCAATACGGCATTCATTCTCACAGTTACACTGGTCCAAAACTTTGGAATTCTTTATACATTGATGTTAACAAAATCAAGCTGTTTTCAAGTTTTCATCAATATATCAAGAATTCTGTGATTGATGGTTATAATACTATTATTGATTCCTAATGTTTTACGATTATATTATCTTAAACTACTATTTAATTAATAGACTAATACTTTTTATCTAAAACAACTATTTTTGTATCTATATTCCTTCTACTCATATTCTTGTTTGGGTCA